CACCCCATGTTGCGACCGGTGTTCGGAATCTCCAGGACTGCCACGAAGATATTCGTCATATCCTCGAAGCCCAGGGCCATTCTGTCCTCCAGGTACACTCGTTTACTCGTCCCCCTCGTGGTCGTCGCTGTCAACCCCTTCGGGTTGTGAAGATTACCTTTGATGGTATGACCCTTCCACCCTCTGTCATTCTTGCTGGTGCCAGGTGCTCTGTCCAGGAGTACATTCCTTCTCCTCGGCTCTGTAATAAGTGCAGGAGGTTTGGGCATGGTGCCTTCTGCTGCTTTGGTACTGTCTCTCTCTGTCCTTTGTGTGGGGGCGTCCTTTCGATTTCTGCACTCATCTTTGACTTCCCTATAACGATCCCTTCTCTCTCTCTGAACGTTGGTCTGCCCTGGCCCTCTGCGGTTTTACGGTGGCGGGCTCTGATGGCATTCATTATGAGATGCTTTGCCATCTCCCTCCGTGCACGTCTCAGTATTTATTGACTCTGTATAATTGGATCTGGGAGTAGACGTCAGTCCCTGAGGACTGGCTCGATGCTGTTGTTCTCCCTGTTCGCAAGTCACGGTCTCTGGGAACATCCCCGAAGGACTTTCGCCCTATTGCCCTCACAAGTTGTGTCTGCAAACTCCTTGAACGTATGGTTAACGTTCGTCTGATGTTGTTCCTGGAACACCATCACCTCTTCTCCCCTTCTCAATTTGGTTTCCGCAAGTGCCGCAGCACGACAGATGTCCTGGTGAACTTGGAGGTCTATATTCATACTGCTTTTGCTGCGAAGACCTCCGTTGTTGCCGTCCATTTTGACCTGGAAAAGGCTTACGACACCACTTGGCGATATCATATTCTATCCCAATTTCATTCTTTTGGCCTTCGTGGTCGGCTCCCTCTCTTTCTCAGCAGCTTCCTCTCTCGTCATTCCTTTCGGGGTGAGGCTTGGTACCGCTCTCTCTTCCTCTTTTCAGCAATACAAAGGTATGCCCCAGGGTAGTGTTCTGAACACTATTTTTTTGGTTGCCCTCAAGGTCTTCTTTCCTCTTTTCCTTCTCCGCTCTCTATGTCGACGATCTTACTCTTTACTGTCAGGGTGATGATTCGCCTCTCCTTCAACGCCGGCTGCAACTTGCGATTGATGCCGTGTCGTCTTGGGCCACCGATCATGGCTTCAGGTTCTCTACGTCTAAGACTTGTGCTATGACATTTACTCGGAAGCGTGTCGTTCTACGTCCTTCTTTGTCACTTTATGGTCACCCCCTTGTGTACAAGGATTCCACTAATCTTTTGGGGTTGATTTTTGACACTCGTTTGTCTTGGTCGCCCCATATCGCTTACCTCCGTGTTGAGTGCGCTAAGGCCACTACCCTCTTTCGGGTCTTGTCCCATACTTCTTGGGGAGCTGATAAATGTCTTTAAATGAGCGTGTGGATGCTGCCCCCAGGGAAGCTGTCCGCTCTTGTCCCGTCTCTCGTAAAGGTATTCCTTATTCCGACTTTTACCCAGTTATCCATTCCTCCGTCCTTACCCGTTGGCAGGCTTGTTGGTCTTCAGTTGTTGGTAACAAACTGCGTACTCTTAAGTGTTTTGTGTCCTCGTGGCCGTCCTCCTACCACCGTAACCGGCGATGGGAAACGGCTCTGGCAAGGTTGCGTATTGGCCATACTCACTTAACTCATGGTCACTTGATGGAGCGCCGCCCTGCTCCTTATTGTCCAAATTGCATTGTCCTCTTACGGTCGTGCATGTCCTTCTTGAATGTCCTGACTTCCAGGACGAGCGTGTGTCTTGCTTCCAGACCGTCCCTCGCGGTCGCTTGTCTCTCGATAAAATTCTTGGTGACTCGGATACTTTTGATATCGTTCGCCTTATGCGTTTCTGTTCTCGTATTGGCATCCTTGGTGATATTTAGCGCCCTCTGATTATCCCGCACGTTTGATGGTGCTACACAGCCTTCCCGGTTTGGTGCCTTCTTTTGATAATTACTTACTTACTTTGCTATTATATGTAAGCCTATATCATTATCTGTTGACCTACACAATTATATGGAGTAGTGGCAGCCCTCACACACCTGGGAGTAGCCCCATGTGGCAGCCCTCACACACCTGGGAGTAGCCCCATGTGGCAGCCCTCACACACCTGGGAGTAGCCCCATGTGGCAGCCTTCACACACCTGGGAGTAGCCCCATGTGGCAGCCCTCACACATCTGGGAGTAGCCCCATGTGGCAGCCCTCACACACCTGGAAGTAGCTCCATGTGTCAGCCCTCACACACGTGGGAGTAGCCCCATGTGGCAGCCCTCACACACCTGGGAGTAGCCCCATGTGGCAGCCCTCACACACCTGGGAGTAGCCCCATGTGGCAGCCCTCACACACCTGGGAGTAGCCCCATGTGGCAGCCCTCACACACCTGGAAGTAGCTCCATGTGTCAGCCCTCACACACGTGGGAGTAGCCCCATGTGGCAGCCCTCACACACCTGGGAGTAGCCCCATGTGGCAGCCCTCACACACCTGGGAGTAGCCCCATGTGGCAGCCCTCACACATCTGGGAGTAGCCCCATGTGGCAGCCCTCACACACCTGGAAGTAGCTCCATGTGTCAGCCCTCACACACCTGGGAGTAGCCCCATGTGGCAGCCCTCACACACCTGGGAGTAGCCCCATGTGGCAGCCCTCACACACCTGGGAGTAGCCCCATGTGGCAGCCCTCACACACCTGGGAGTAGCCCCATGTGGCAGCCCTCACACACCTGGGAGTAGCTCCATGTGTCAGCCCTCACACACGTGGGAGTAGCCCCATGTGGCAGCCCTCACACACCTGGGAGTAGCCCCATGTGGCAGCCCTCACACACCTGGGAGTAGCCCCATGTGGCAGCCTTCACACACCTGGGAGTAGCCCCATGTGGCAGCCCTCACACATCTGGGAGTAGCCCCATGTGGCAGCCTTCACACACCTGGGAGTAGCCCCATGTGGCAGCCCTCACACACCTGGGAGTAGCCCCATGTGGCAGCCCCCACACACCTGGGAGTAGCCCCTAGTGGCAGCCCCCACACACCTGGGAGTAGCCCCATGTGGCAGCCCTCACACACCTGGGAGTAGCCTTGTGTGGCAGCCCCCACACACCTGGGAGTAGCCCCATGTGGCAGCCTTCACACACCTGGGAGTAGCCCCATGTGGCAGCCCCCACACACCTGGGAGTAGCCCCTAGTGGCAGCCCCCACACACCTGGGAGTAGCCCCATGTGGCAGCCTTCACACACCTGGGAGTAGCCCCATGTGGCAGCCCTCACACACCTGGGAGTAGCCCCATGTGGCAGCCCTCACACACCTGGGAGTAGCCCCATGTGGCAGCCCTCACACACCTGGGAGTAGCCCCATGTGGCAGCCCTCACACACCTGGGAGTAGCCCCATGTGGCAGCCTTCACACACCTGGGAGTAGCCCCTAGTGACAGCCCTCACACACCTGGGAGTAGCCCCATGTGGCAGCCTTCACACACCTGGGAGTTGCCCCATGTGGCAGCCTTCACACACCTGAGAGTTGCCCCATGTGGCAGCCCTCACACACCTGGGAGTAGCCCCATGTGGCAGCCCTCACACACCTGGGAGTAGCCACATTTAATCGTTCACACTCTCCCACGGCGGGAGTACAAAGCTGCTTGACCTACTCGACTCTTGGTGCCAGCAAGCTGTGCTCCTCTTTGATCCCATTGTAGACATCATCTGCGTCAAAGGCAAAACTAAGTCATATATATATGACGCAGTTTTGCCTTTGTACTATGTACTATGACGCAGTCCACACTAGATATATAAATGACCCAGTGTACTATTATGCAGTGTACTATGACGCAGTGTACTGTGACGCAGTGAACTATGACGCAGTGTGTACTGTGACGCAGTGTACTGTGACGCAGTGTGTACTGTGACGCAGTGTGTACTGTGACGCAGTGTGTACTGTGACGCAGTGTGTACTGTGACGCAGTGTGTACTGTGACGCAGTGTGTACTGTGACGCAGTGAACTGTGACGCAGTGAACTATGACGCAGTGTGTACTGTGACGCAGTGAACTGTGACGCAGTGTACTGTGACGCAGTGTGTACTGTGACGCAGGGAACTGTGACGCAGTGTACTGTGACGCAGTGTGTACTGTGACGCAGTGAACTGTGACGCAGTGTGTACTGTGACGCAGTGAACTGTGACGCAGTGTGTACTGTGACGCAGTGTGTACTGTGACGCAGTGTACTGTGACGCAGTGTGTACTGTGACGCAGTGAACTGTAACTCAGTGTGTACTGTGACGCAGTGTGTACTGTGACGCAGGGAACTGTGACGCAGTGTACTATGACGCAGTGTGTACTGTGACGCAGGGAACTGTGACGCAGTGTGTACTGTGACGCAGTGAACTGTGACGCAGTGTACTGTGACGCCGTGTACTGTGACGCAGTGAACTGTGACGCAGTGAACTGTAACGCAGTGTACTGTGACGCAGTGTGTACTGTGACGCAGTGAACTGTGACGCAGTGTACTGTGACGCAGTGTGTACTGTGACGCAGTGAACTGTGACGCAGTGAACTGTGACGCAGTGTGTACTGTGACGCAGTGTGTACTGTGACGCAGTGTGTACTGTGACGCATTGAACTGTGACGCAGTGTACTGTGACGCAGTGTACTGTGACGCAGTGTACTGTGACGCAGTGTGTACTGTGACGCAGGGAACTGTGACGCAGTGTACTGTGACGCAGTGTGTACTGTGACGCAGTGAACTGTGACGCAGTGTACTGTGACGCAGTGTGTACTGTGACGCAGTGTACTGTGACGCAGTGTGTACTGTGACGCAGTGAACTGTGACGCAGTGTACTGTGACGCAGTGAACTGTGACGCAGTGTACTGTGACGCAGTGTACTGTGACGCAGTGTACTGTGACGCAGCGTACTGTGACGCAGTGTACTGTGACGCAGTGTACTGTGACGCATATATAAAGTCACTTTTACAATAATTGAAGATTGTTATGTATTTGTTTGTGATTGATGCCATGTGGGTGATGTTGGCGTGGTCTGGCCATGTGGGTGATGTTGGCGTGGTCTGGCCATGTGGGTGATGTTGGCGAGGTCTGGCCATGTGGGAGATGTTGGCGTGGTCTGGCCATGTGGGTGATGTTGGCGTGGTCTGGCCATGTGGGTGATGTTGGCGTGGTCTGGCCATGTGGGTGATGTTGGCGTGGTCTGGCCATGTGGGTGATGTTGGCGTGGTCTGGCCATGTGGGTGATGTTGGCGTGGTCTGGCCATGTGGGTGATGTTGGCGTGGTCTGGCCATGTGGGTGATGTTGGCGTGGTCTGGCCATGTGGGTGATGTTGGCGTGGTCTGGCCTTGTGGGTGATGTTGGCGGGGTCTGGCCATGTGGGTGATGTTGGCGGGGTCTGGCCATGTGGGTGATGTTGGCGTGGTCTGGCCATGTGGGTGATGTTGGCGAGGTCTGGCCATGTGGGAGATGTTGGCGTGGTCTGGCCATGTGGGTGATGTTGGCGTGGTCTGGCCATGTGGGAGATGTTGGCGTGGTCTGGCCATGTGGGTGATGTTGGCGAGGTCTGGCCATGTGGGTGATGTTGGCGTGGTCTGGCCATGTGGGTGATGTTGGCGTGGTCTGGCCATGTGGGTGATGTTGGCGAGGTCTGGCCATGTGGGTGATGTTGGCGTGGTCTGGCCATGTGGGAGATAGTGTCCTAGCCGGCTCACCAAGTCTTTCTCCCCAATGTCTTTCTCCGTAAAAAAAAAAATCAACTTTTTTTCGAAACGTCAATAATTACGGTGCTTTAGTTTTTACAAATGCGTCGCATTTTAACGCGATTAATTCCTTCAAAAAGCGACGTAGTATATGGGAGGGCCGGGGGGGGGGGGGGGGGGGTGGGGGGAGAGTGAGGAAGGGGCGTGAGGTGGTCTAAGAGACCAATCAACTAAACCAATAACGCCTCGTATTTTACGACGACAATTAGAGGTCCCGACGTATCGTTAAGGCGTCCGTAGATTCCCCTCAACATACTGATATAACGACTGTAATTACGCATTGATTCTCACCACTTTAGTATTGTATTGTGCAAGAGCAGTCATTGATTCTGAAGTCCAGCTTCAAGGAGCTGGGATAACCTTGCCAGGAGCTGGGATATGAGGACGAGGAGCTGGGATATGAGGAGGAGGAGCTGGGATATGAGGACGAGGAGCTGGGATATGAGGACGAGGAGCTGGGATATGAGGACGAGGAGCTGGGATATGAGGAAGAGGAGCTGGGATATGAGGACGAGGAGCTGGGATATGAGGACGAGGAGCTGGGATATGAGGACGAGGAGCTGGGATATGAGGACGAGGAGCTGGGATATGAGGACGAGGAGCTGGGATATGAGGACGAGGAGCTGGGATATGAGGACGAGGAGCTGGGATATGAGGACGAGGAGCTGGGATATGAGGACGAGGAGCTGGGATATGAGGACGAGGAGCTGGGATATGAGGACGAGGAGCTGGGATATGAGGACGAGGAGCTGGGATATGAGGACGAGGAGCTGGGATATGAGGACGAGGAGCTGGGATATGAGGACGAGGAGCTGGGATATGAGGACGAGGAGCTGGGATATGAGGACGAGGAGCTGGGATATGAGGACGAGGAGCTGGGATATGAGGACGAGGAGCTGGGATATGAGGACGAGGAGCTGGGATATGAGGGGGAGGAGCTGGGATATGAGGACGAGGAGCTGGGATATGAGGGGGAAGAGCTGGGATATGAGGACGAGGAGCTGGGATATGAAGTGGACGAGCTGGGATATGAGGACGAGGAGCTGGGATATGAGGACGTGGAGCTGGGATATGAGGACGAGGAGCTGGGATATGAGGACGAGCAGCTGGGATATGAGGACGAGGAGCTGGGATATGAGGACGTGGAGCTGGGATATAAGGGGGCAAAGCTGGGATATGAGGACGTGGAGCTGGGATATGAGGACGAGGAGCTGGGATATGAGGACGAGGAGCTGGGATATGAGGACGAGGAGCTGGGATATGAGGACGAGGAGCTGGGATATGAGGACGAGGAGCTGGGATATGAGGACGAGGAGCTGGGATATGAGACGACGAGGACTGGGATATGAGGACGAGGAGCTGGGATATGAGGAACTGGGATATGAGGACGAGGAGCTGGGATATGAGGACGAGGAGCTGGGATATGAGGACGAGGAGCTGGGATATGAGGACGAGGAGCTGGGATATGAGGACCGAGTAGCTGGGATATGAGGACGAGCAGCTGGGATATGAGGACGAGAAGCTGGGATATGAGGATGATGAGCTAGGATATGAGGACGAGCAACTGGGATATGAGGACGTTGAGCTGGGATATGAGGACTGAGGGAAGGAATGGTGGCCAATCACTAGGCCCATCACCACCCTAACTATACCGAGGGAGTCGAAGCGGGTGCACGCAGAGTTAACAAGCCTCACGCTGTTAAGCACAAAGGACGAGCCTGTGATGGCCTCCACTAGAGCAACTTATAGATCGTCAACACAGCCCACGGGACGAGAGTGACTGTTACGTTCCCTTATATATGCCTTCAAATGTTTATTTATCTTACTACATTCTACAATATCGGTCCCCTGTGTTCTTTCTTGAAGATGGTAGTGTTGAAGTATGGTAGACGCGCTAGCCTCGCCGCCGCCGCCACAATAACAGTGTTCTTGATCTACACCCATGATGGTGGCATCCTTGGGTGTGTGTCTTGTTCGTTACTCTTGATCTACACCCATGATGGTGACATCCTTGGGTGTGTGTCTTGTTCGTTACTCTTGATCTACACCCAAGATGGTGACATCCTTGGGTGTGTGTCTTGTTCGTTACTCTTGATCTACACCCATGATGGTGACATCCTTGGGTGTGTGTCTTGTTCGTTACTCTTGATCTACACCCAAGATGGTGACATCCTTGGGTGTGTGTCTTGTTCGTTACTCTTGATCTACACCCACTATGGTGGCATCCTTGGGTGTATGTCTTGTTCGTTACTCTTGATCTACACCCATGATGGTGGCATCCTTGGGTGTGTGTCTTGTTCGTTACTCTTGATCTACACCCATGATGGTGGCATCCTTGGGTGTGTGTCTTGTTCGTTACTCTTGATCTACACCCATGATGGTGGCATCCTTGGGTGTGTGTCTTGTTCGTTACTCTTGATCTACACCCATGATGGTGGCATCCTTGGGTGTGTGTCTTGTTCGTTACTCTTGATCTACACCCATGATGGTGGCATCCTTGGGTGTGTGTCTTGTTCGTTACTCTTGATCTACACCCATGATGGTGGCATCCTTGGGTGTGTGTCTTGTTCGTTACTCTTGATCTACACCCATGATGGTGGCATCCTTGGGTGTATGTCTTGTTCGTTACTCTTGATCTACACCCATGATGGTGGCATCCTTGGGTGTGTGTCTTGTTCGTTACTCTTGATCTACACCCATGATGGTGGCATCCTTGGGTGTGTGTCTTGTTCGTTACTCTTGATCTACACCCATGATGGTGGCATCCTTGGGTGTATGTCTTGTTCGTTACTCTTGATCTACACCCACTATGGTGGCATCCTTGGGTGTGTGTCTTGTTCGTTACTCTTGATCTACACCCATGATGGTGGCATCCTTGGGTGTGTGTCTTGTTCGTTACTCTTGATCTACACCCATGATGGTGACATCCTTGGGTGTGTGTCTTGTTCGTTACTCTTGATCTACACCCAAGATGGTGACATCCTTGGGTGTGTGTCTTGCTCGTTACTCTTGATCTACACCCATGATGGTGACATCCTTGGGTGTATGTCTTGTTCGTTACTCTTGATCTACACCCAAGATGGTGACATCCTTGGGTGTGTGTCTTGTTCGTTACTCTTGATCTACACCCAAGATGGTGACATCCTTGGGTGTGTGTCTTGTTCGTTTCTAACTTTTCCTCCAGTTGGGATCCAGACACCGCGAGGATTCCTCTTGCTTGATACTTGTAAGATTTAAGTACTCACATCGTCTTGTGAGGTGTAGTGGCCCTTATGGCCGTCTTGGCGGCTCTCATGGCCGTCTTGGCGGCTCTCATGGCCGTCTTGGTGGTTCTCATGGCCGTCTTGGCGGCTCTCATGGCCGTCTTGGCGGCCCTCATGGCCGTCCTTGCGGCCCTCATGGCCGTCTTGGCGGCTCTCATGGCCGTCTAGGCGGCTCTCATGGCCGTCTTGGCGGCTCTCATGGCCGTCTTGGCGGCTCTCATGGCCGTCTTGGCGGCTCTCATGGCCGTCTAGGCGGCTCTCATGGCCGTCTAGGCGGCTCTCATGGCCGTCTTGGCGGCTCTCATGGCCGTCTTTGCGGCCCTCATGGCCGTCTTGGCGGCTCTCAAGGCCGTCTTGGCGGCTCTCATGGCCGCTCCACAACATGGCCTCGGCCGGGCTCTTTATGTTGAGGCTTCAGAAGAACTGCGCCTTTATGCATACATATAAAACTTGGCTCAACTCTTTGATCACGTTTTGTGTTCAACGTTGGCTCTTACTTAAGATAAAAGTTGTATCATGCACTCAGCATGTTGATGTGGCCGCGTTCAGTATGTTGATGTGGCCGCGTTCAGTATGTTGATGTGGCCGCGTTCAGTATGTTGATGTGGCCGCGTTTAGTATGTTGATGTGGCCGCGTTCAGTATGTTGATGTGGCCGCGTTCAGTATGTTGATGTGGCCGCGTTTAGTATGTTGATGTGGCCGCGTTCAGTATGTTGATGTGGCCGCGTTCACAATGTTGATGTGGCCGCGTTCAGTATGTTGATGTGGCCGCGTTCACTATGTTGATGTGGCCGCGTTCAGTATGTTGATGTGGCCGCGTTCAGTATGTTGATGTGGCCGCGTTCAGCATGTTGATGTGGCCGCGTTCAGCATGTTGATGTGGCCGCGTTCAGTATGTTGATGTGGCCGCGTTCAGTATGTTGATGTGGCCGCGTTCAGTATGTTGATGTGGCCGCGTTCACTATGTTGATGTGGCCGCGTTCACTATGTTGATGTGGCCGCGTTCAGTATGTTGATGTGGCCGCGTTCAGTATGTTGATGTGGCCGCGTTCAGCATGTTGATGTGGCCTGTCCTGTAGAGGCGAGTGTTCCCAGTATGCGGCGGGGCCTGTAGAGGCGAGTGTCCCCAGTATGCGGCGGGTCCTGTAGAGGCGAGTGTCCCCAGTATGCGGCGGGGCCTGTATAGGCGAGTGTCCCCAGTATGCGGCGGGGCCTGTAGAGGCGAGTGTCTCCAGTATGCGGCGGGGCCTGTAGAGGCGAGTGTCCCCAGTATGCGGCGGGGCCTGTAGAGGCGCGAGTGTCCCCAGTATGCGGCGGGGCCTGTAGAGGCGAGTGTCCCCAGTATGCGGCGGGGCCTGTACAGGCGAGTGTCCCCAGTATGCGGCGGGGCCTGTACAGGCGAGTGTCCCCAGTATGCGGCGGGGCCTGTAGAGGCGAGTGTCCCCAGTATGCGGCGGGGCCTGTAGAGGCGAGTGTCCCCAGTATGCGGCGGGGCCTGTACAGGCGAGTGTCCTCAGTATGCGGCGGGGCCTGTAGAGGCGAGTGTCCCCAGTATGCGGCGGGGCCTGTAGAGGCGAGTGTCCCCAGTATGCGGCGGGGCCTGTAGAGGCGAGTGTCCCCAGTATGCGGCGGGGCCTGTACAGGCGAGTGTCCTCAGTATGCGGCGGGGCCTGTAGAGGCGAGTGTCCCCAGTATGCGGCGGGGCCTGTACAGGCGAGTGTCCCCAGTATGCGGCGGGGCCTGTAGAGGCGAGTGTCCCCAGTATGCGGCGGGGCCTGTAGAGGCGAGTGTCCCCAGTATGCGGCGGGGCCTGTAGAGGCGAGTGTCCCCAGTATGCGGCGGGGCCTGTAGAGGCGAGTGTCCCCAGTATGCGGCGGGGCCTGTACAGGCGAGTGTCCCCAGTATGCGGCGGGGCCTGTACAGGCGAGTGTCCCCAGTATGCGGCGGGGCCTGTAGAGGCGAGTGTCCCCAGTATGCGGCGGGGCCTGTAGAGGCGAGTGTCCCCAGTATGCGGCGGGGCCTGTACAGGCGAGTGTCCCCAGTATGCGGCGGGGCCTGTAGAGGCGAGTGTCCCCAGTATGCGGCGGGGCCTGTACAGGCGAGTGTCCCCAGTATGCGGCGGGGCCTGTACAGGCGAGTGTCCCCAGTATGCGGCGGGGACTGTACAGGCGAGTGTCCCCAGTATGCGGCGGGGCCTGTACAGGCGAGTGTCCCCAGTATGCGGCGGGGCCTGTACAGGCGAGTGTCCCCAGTATGCGGCGGGGCCTGTACAGGCGAGTGTCCCCAGTATGCGGCGGGGCCTGTACAGGCGTGTGTCCCCAGTATGCGGCGGGGCCTGTAGAGGGGCGAGTGTCCCCAGTATGCGGCGGGGCCTGTAGAGGCGAGTGTCCCCAGTATGCGGCGAGGCCTGTACAGGCGAGTGTCCCCAGTATGCGGCGGGGCCTGTACAGGCGAGTGTCCCCAGTATGCGGCGGGGCCTGTAGAGGCGAGTGTCCCCAGTATGCGGCGGGGCCTGTACAGGCGAGTGTCCCCAGTATGCGGCGGGGCCTGTAGAGGCGAGTGTCCCCAGTATGCGGCGGGGCCTGTAGAGGCGAGTGTCCCCAGTATGCGGCAGGGCCTGTAGAGGCGAGTGTCCCCAGTATGCGGCGGGGCCTGTAGAGGCGAGTGTCCCCAGTATGCGGCGGGGCCTGGGAGCTGGTCCCCGCTCCACAGGAAAACTTTCCGCGTCAATTAAAGTTGGGGAAGACGGCTAACCCATCGGTGATTTTTACCTGGTCTAAATAACCAGCTATTATCAGCAGAGCTTTTATTGTGACACCATTGTGGCCCCTGATGGTGGCCATGGCCGGGGTGTGGCCCCTGATGGTGGCCATGCCCGGGGTGTGGCCCCTGATGGTGGCCATGCCCGGGGTGTGGCCCCTGATGGTGGCCATGCCCGGGGTGTGGCCCTGATGGTGGCCATGCCCGGGGTGTGGTCCTGATGGTGGGCCATGCCCGGGGTGTGTAGCCCTGATGGTGGGCCATGCCCTGGGTGTGGCCCTGATGGTGGGCCATGCCCGGGGTGTAGCCCTGATGGTGGCCATGCCCTGGGTGTGGCCCTAATGGTGGCCATGCCCTGGGTGTGGCCCTGATGGTGGCCATGCCCGGGGTGTGGCCCCTGATGGTGGCCATGGCCGGGGTGTGGCCCCTGATGGTGGCCATGCCCGGGGTGTGGCCCCTGATGGTGGCCATGGCCGGGGTGTGGCCCCTGATGGTGGCCATGGCCGGGGTGTGGCCCTGATGGTGGCCATGCCCGGGGTGTGGCCCCTGATGGTGGCCATGGCCGGGGTGTGGCCCCTGATGGTGGCCATGCCCGGGGTGTGGGCCCCTGATGGTGGCCATGCCCTGGGTGTGGCCCCTGATGGTGGCCATGCTCTGAGTGTGTGGCACTGATGGTGGCCATGGCCGGGGTGTGGCCCCTGATGGTGGCCATGGCCGGGGTGTGGCCCCTGATGGTGGCCATGGCCGGGGTGTGGCCCCTGATGGTGGCCATGGCCGGGGTGTGGCCCCTGATGGTGGCCATGGCCGGGGTGTGGCCCCTGATGGTGGCCATGCCCTGGGTGTGGCCCCTGATGGTGGCCATGCCCGGGGTGTGGCCCTGATGGTGGCCATGCCCTGGGTGTGGCCCTGATAGTGGCCATGCCCTGGGTGTGGCCCTCATGGTGGCCATGCTCTGAGTGTGTGGCCCTGATGGTGGCCATGGCCGGGGTGTGGCCCCTGATGGTGGCCATGGCCCTGATGGTGGCCATGCCCGGGGTGTGGCCCCTGATGGTGGCCATGGCCGGGGTGTGGCCCCTGATGGTGGCCATGGCCGGGGTGTGGCCCTGATGGTGGCCATGCCCGGGGTGTGGCCCCTGATGGTGGCCATGGCCGGGGTGTGGCCCCTGATGGTGGCCATGCCCTGGGTGTGGCCCCTGATGGTGGCCATGCCCTGGGTGTGGCCCTGATGGTGGACATGCCCTGGGTGTGGCCCTCATGGTGGCCATGCTCTGAGTGTGTGGCCCTGATGGTGGCAATGCCCGGGGTGTGGCCCTGATGGTGGCCATGCCCGGGGTGTGTGATCCTGATGGTGGCCATGCCCGGGGTGTGGCCCTGATGGTGGCCATGCCCGGGGTGTGGCCCTGATGGTGGCCATGCCTGGGGTGTGTGATCCTGATTGTGGCCATGCCCGGGGTGTGGCCCTGATGGTGGCCATGCCCGGGGTGTGTGGCCCTGATGGTGGTCATGCCCTGGGTGTGGCCCTGGTGGTGACCATGATCGGGGGTGGCCCTAATGGTGGCCATGCCCGGGGTGTGGCCCTGATGGTGCCCATGCCCAGGGTGTGGCCCTGATGGTGGCCATGACCGGGGTGTGGCCCTAATGGTGGCCAAGCCCTTGGTGTGGCCCTTATGGTGGCCATGCCCGGGGTGTGGCCCCTGATGGTGGCCATGACCGGGGTGTGGCCCTAATGGTGGCCATGCCCGGGGTGTGGCCCTGATGGTGGCCATGCCCGGGGTGCGACCCTGATGGTGGCCATGCCCTGGGTGTGGCCCTGATGGTGGCCATGCCCGGGGTGTGGCCCTGATGGTGGCCATGCCCGGGGTGTGGCCCTAATGGTGGCCATGCCCGGGGTGTGGCCCTGATGGTGGCCATGCCCGGGGTGTGGTCCTGATGGTGGGCCATGCCCGGTATGTGTAGCCCTGATGGTGGGCCATGCCCTGGGTGTGGCCCTGATGGTGGGCCATGCCCGGGGTGTAGCCCTGATGGTGGCCATGCCCTGGGTGTGGCCCTAATGGTGGCCATGCCCTGGGTGTGGCCCTGATGGTGGGCCATGCCCTGCGTGTGGCCCTAATGGTGGCCATGCCCTGGGTGTAGCCCTGATGGTGGCCATGCCCTGGGTGTGGCCCTGATGGTGGGCCATGCCCTGGGTGTAGCCCTGATGGTGGCCATGTGTAAACAAAGCCGCCAAAGATTGAGAAAAGATGTGTCGTGTGTGTGTGTACTCACCTAGTTGTACTCACCTAGTTGTGTCTGCAGGATCGAGCATTGACTCTTGGATCCCGCCTTTCGAGCATCGGTTGTTTACAGCAATGACTCCTGTCCCATTTCCCTATCATACCTGGTTTTAAAATTATGAATAGTATTTGCTTCCACAACCTGTTCCTGAAGTGCATTCCATTTCCCCACTACTCTCACGCTAAAAGAAAACTTCCTAACATCTCTGTGACTCATCTGAGTTTCAAGCTTCCATCCATGTCCTCTCGTTCTGTTACTATTCCGTGTGAACATTTCGTCTATGTCCACTCTGTCAATCCCTCTGAGTATCTTATACGTTCCTATCATGTCCCCCCTCTCCCTTCTTCTTTCTAGTGTCGTAAGGCACAGTTCCCTCAGGCGCTCCTCATACCCCATCCCTCGTAGCTCTGGGACGAGTCTCGTTGCAAACCTCTGAACCTTTTCCAGTTTCATTATATGCTTCTTCAGATGGGGACTCCATGATGAGGCGGCATACTCTAAGACTGGCCTTACGTAGGCAGTGTAAAGCGCCCTAAATGCCTCCTTACTTAGGTTTCTGAATGATGTTCTAACTTTTGCCAGTGTAGAGTACGCTGCTGTCGTTATCCTATTAATATGTGCCTCAGGAGATAGATTAGGTGTTACGTCCACCCCCAGGTCTCTTTCACGCGTCGTTACAGGTAGGCTGTTCCCCTTCATTGTGTACTGTCCCTTTGGTCTCCTATCTCCTAGTCCCATTTCCATAACTTTACATTTGCTCGTGTTGAATTCTAGTAGCCATTTCTCTGACCATCTCTGCAATCTGTTCAGGTCCTCTTGGAGGATCCTGCAATCCTCATCTGTCACAACTCTTCTCATCAACTTTGCATCATCCGCAAACATCGACATGTAGGACTCTACGCCTGTAAACATGTCGTTAACATATACAAGAAATAGAATTGGTCCCAGCACCGATCCTTGTGGTACTCCACTTGTTACTGTTCGCCAGTCCGACTTCTCGCCCCTTACCGTAACTCTTTGGCTCCTTCCTGTTAGGTAGTTCCTTATCCATGCTAGGACCTTTCCCCCCACCCCCGCCTGCCTCTCGAGCTTGAACAGCAGTCTCATGTGCGGTACTGTATCAAAGGCTTTTTGGCAGTCCAGAAATATGCAGTCTGCCCAACCATCTCTGTCCTGTCTTATCCTCGTTATTTTATCATAGAATTCCAGAAGGTTTGTTAGGCACGATTTCCCTGTCCAGAACCCATGTTGATGTTTGTTCACAAACCTAATGTTCTCCAGGTGTGCAACCAGTCGTAGCCTAATTATTCTTTCCAGTATTTTACAGGGGATGCTTGTCAGTGATACAGGTCTATAGTTAAGTGCCTCCTCCCTATCACCTTTCTTGAAGATCGGCACGACATTTGCCTTCTTCCAGCAACTGGGCAATTCTCCTGACATAAGTGACTCATTAAAGATCATTGCCAGAGGCACGCTGAGGGCCTGTGCTGCTTCTTTTAGTATCCACGGTGATACTTTGTCTGGTCCAACTGCTTTAGTTGCATCTAGAGTTGTCAACTGTTTCATTACCTCCTCTGCTGTCACCTCTATATCTGATAGTCTTTCATCTAGGGTAACCCCTTCCAACAATGGGAGCTGCTCAGGCTCGGTAGTGAACACTCCATGGAAACTGGCATTCAGTGCCTCGCAGATTTCCTTGTCACTTTCAGTATATGCCCCCTCTGTCTTCCTTAGTCTTGTCACTTGGTCGTTCACCGACATTTTTCTTCTTATATGACTGTGTAGTAACTTAGGTTGTTTTTTCGCTTTGATTGCAATATCGTTCTCATAGTCCCTTTCCGATGTTCGTCTTATGTTAATGTAATCGTTCCTAGCTCTGTTGTATCTGCTTCTGTTGTCCTCTGTTCTTTGTCTTCTGTACTTCCTCCACTCCCGCCTGCTGGCCATTTTTGCTTCCTGACACTGTCTATTAAACCATGGGTTATTATATTCCTTCTTATTTTTTCCCTTTACCGTTGGTATAAATCTCTCTTCGGCCTCCTGGCATTTCTGTATGACTAGGTCCATCATATCTTGGACTGTTTTTCCTCTAATTTCTTCCTCCCACTGCACTTCATCCAGATAGTCCCTTATCCTCATATAGTCCCCTTTCCTGTAGTCAGCTCTCCTTTCCCAGATCTCTTGTCCCATGGTCATAAGTTTGAATTCCATCATGTAGTCAAAGACTAGGACACAATGGTCACTGGCCCCTAGAGGTATTTCATGCTCTAAATTCTCGATATCTTCTACGTTCTGGGTGAAAATCAGGTCTAATAGGCTCGGTGCATCTCCTCCTCTTTCCCTTGTGTCTTCCTTCACATGTTGTGTCAGGAAATTCCTGTCTATAACATCTACTAATTTTGCTCCCCACGTTTCGTCCCCTCCATGGGGATTCCTTGATTCCCAATTTATCTCTCCATGATTTAGGTCCCCCATGATCAGCAGCTTCGCTCTCATTCTGTGGGCTAGTGTTGCTGCCTTCTGCAGTTCATCTATACATGCTTTGTTGTTGTCATCATACTCCTGCCTGGGTCTTCTACTGTTTGGTGGGGGATTGTAGATTACCAAGATCACAATCTTCCTCCCATCTACTGTCAGAGTTCCATGTATGAAGCTTGTGCACTCATTGGTAACTCGATTTCCCAGGTCTTCAAACTTCCATTTCCGCTTTATTAGGAGTGCTACTCCCCCTCCCTGTCTCTGTGTCCTCTCTTTTCGTATCACCTGGTACCCTTCAGGAAAGATTGCATCTGAGATCATGTCATTAATTTTAGTTTCCACAATTGCAACTATGTCAGGATCTGCTTCACTCACTCTTTCTTTTATCTCTTCTGCTTTATTAGATACCCCATCAGCATTGGTGTACCAAACCTTGAGATTCTTCATGGAAACTCTTGTACCAGAGTTCTCCCTTTCTCTGGGGGTCTGGGGGGATCTGGGGGATGTCTGGGGGGTGACTGGGGGCAGGGGGGATCTGGGGGATCTGGGGGGTGTCTGGGGGATGACTGGGGGCGGGGAGGGTCCGGGGGATGTCTGGGGGGATCCGGGGGGTGTCTGGGGGGGTCCGGGGGGTGTATGGGGGGTGAAAGAGTTCAGGAGGGGTGCTTGGGGGGCTACTGGGGGCTGGGCTTCTAGGAAGGTAGGTAGGAGGGTCTGGGGTAGGGCCTGGGTAGGTAGGTCTGGAGTAGGAAGGGCATACTGGGTCTGAAGATTAGGGAGGGCATAGAGGGGTTGGGAGATAGCGTAAGGTTGGGAGTCAGATAGAGGTTGAGAGGTTGGGAGGGGGAAGGATAGAGGGGGTGGGGGGAACCTCCCACCCCCCTCGCAAGGGTGGGGGGTCACATGGAAGGAGAGGGGATGAGGAGGGGTGAGGGCTGGGTAGGCTTTGGGTGTTGAGGGGATGAGGGCTGGGTGGGTTCTTGGGGTTGAGGGGATGAGGGCTGGATGGGTTTTGGGGGTTGAGGGGATGAGGGCTGGGTGGGTTTTGGGGGTTGAGGGGATGAGGGCTGGACGGGTTTTGGGGGTTGAGGTGATGAGGGGGTCCTTGGAATGTGGGATGAATTTGACTCCAGTGGGGTCAGAGGGGTCAAGGGATGTGTTGGGGAGATAAGCAGGGGCGGCTGATTTGGGGAAGGGGTGAACTGTACCAGGACAGGTCGTTTCCTGTTACAGTTGTATGGCCCAATGCGTCTGTGGACTTGCACCTCATTCCCTGCCATCTGGGCTCTCATGTCTCTCAAGATCCCCTGTAGCTCCAAATCCTCAATCTCCATCCTTTTCTGCCTCGATGGTGCCCTGACTTCAAGTAATCCATGGATTATGATTGTCCTCTTTCTCAGTTCAGGGTCATGCTGGTGGCCCTCTCAATGGCTGACCCCCACCCCTCCCACTCCCGCTACTCCACCTACTACTACTCCCCCTTCCCCTGCCCAGCTTCCCTTATTCCTGCCAAATTCATTAGTAAGCCTAGATATTTCTCCTTGCCATTCTACCCTGCTCTTCGTGATTTCCTCTTGAATATAATCCATAAACTCTTGTTTGAGTCTTTGAACCTCGCCCTGTATCTTATTAAAGACTTCACTTTTAATCCCCTGGATTAGATCACCTATCCAAACATCCCTCTTCTCTACAAATTTCCCAATCATCTTCTCCACAAACCTATCTTCTTCCTCAATCATAATACTGCTGGACCTAGACGCCCTTCCTGACCTAGTCATTGCTATAATGCAACCTTACCCACAGGGGTTCCAAGTATCTTACCGTCCTGCTAACACAATAGGTGAGTGAATCCAATCCAATCGTCGTTGTGTGTGTGTGTGTGTGTGTGTGTGAGTGTGTGTGTGTGTGTGTGTGTGTGTGTGTGTGTGTGTGTGTGTGTGTGTGTGTGTGTGTGTGTGTGTGTGTGTGTGTGTGTGTGTGTGTGTGTGTGTGTGTGTGTGTGTGTGTGTGTGTGTGTGTAAGAGAGTGTGTGTAAGAGTGTGCGAGTAAGAGTGTGTATGTATATATGTATGTATATGAGTATATGTGTGTGAGTGAGTGA